GATATCTGGCCAAGGTTAATCAACTCTACACAGAGTTACTAACAGCACACGCTAAATGCTAACTCGCGATTAGCATCATGATACTCTTCTAGCATTTCATTTATGCACAGAAATCATTTGCAGCAGGTACTCACTCATTCAAAGGTTAAATAGTCCAAAACAAGAATGTAAACTGTGGAACCACAAGTATTTCATGACCGTTTTTTCTTAGCTTAGCTCGTTCAGCCTCCTTCTAGCGCAGAACGGCAGTCGAATCTCACATGCTACTTTTCGCCTGACTCCCATTGGTCCCACCCTCACACATATGATTGGACATTAGATTTAGATTAACCAATGAAATAAAAGAAATGCAAGACTGACAGCACAACAAGTTAGGTTGTGGAAAGAACTATTTTTTTAGACGTATATTTCAAACATGCTGCAAAAAACCCCGCATTTTACCCAAAATAAATGAAAATAAACAATTTATGAACTATTAAATAATAAATGAACTAGATTTCTTGTACTTTTAACCCAAATTACACCGTTTGTACTTGTTTTTAATAAATGTATTAATAGATCAACAATTACTAACTCCATTATATGTTAGCCTTCTTAGTCTTTAGGAGGGATACAGTTTCATGTAAATAAGACTGTCATTGGCAGTGTCATTGAATGGTTGGCATTGGCCATTCAATAAGAATGGTTGGTATTTTTATTGATATAAATAATTGATCCTTTTTTCTATTTACTATTTTGGTTTTCCACCAAGCAACTGTACAGCAGTCTTGGAAGAAACTTTCAACACTTAGTGTAACAAGAAGTTTTTTTGTTTACTCTGTCAGTGCAGCAGGTGAAATTAAGAATTACTTCCTTTTTTCATCAAAATAAGAATCTCAAATGCACCTTCAACTGGGTGTCAAGCTGAGAGCACATACCTTGATATCTGGGGCACACAATAATTTGCACTTACTTTATGAGACAAAGATGACATCTAACAGCATGTCACAAGACATATTTCTCTTTGGTGTGAAATATTAATGTTGTGAGACGTTATGCCACTAAATTTCTCTATACCCTTTTCCAGCCTAAAAGTCACACCTTTTTTATATTGTTGCTGGTCATGCGACTTCTTTTCAAATTTATCTTAATCAGTCTTCTTCAAACACCTTTGCAGCAATACTTCTACACCTAAATTCTGATGTCAGACTGATAGATGTTACATTAACATTTTCAAAGTAGTTCAAGAGCATCATTTGTGCCGTAAAGGATAATTTTCTAGAGCTACAACTCTTCGTCCATGCCTTTTAACATTTGTGTTTAACTAAGTATGAGAAAAGACACTGAGGTGGCTTTGAGGGTATTTACTGCCTGTAAGTATCTGCTATTGTCATGTTAATATGATCGGACGCCTCTTAGCCTCAAAGAAGGATTATTTTGTACGATTCAGCTGAATTTACGTTTCTATAACAGAGACGAGAGCAGAATCTGAGGATTACTAAACTGCATCAAAAAAATCAATGTGAGGAAACTCATGGCTACATCAGCACTTAGACTCTGCACTCGGAAGCAGTAAAGCACATGCGTTTGCATTCTCCACAAGGGAAGGATGTATTAAAGAGGCGTATTTGGCCTTTTGTTTGCTGTTTGCGGTGCCACTGTATATGTTTAGAGCTGCTTTAATAGGGAAGATGGCCTTCACTTAAATAACCAACACTGCAGAAATTTCCGCAGACATGGATAAAATCAGAGACAGCCATACTCAGCTTCAAAAGCACTCCAGACTTTTATACCTTATGCATAGTTTCAGTGTGTAAAACAAGCCTTAACCTCCAATTCACAAAAAGATGCAGCTAGAGCAACCAAAAAATACTTTTTAAAAACAAAATTAAATGAACAGACACAAGCTTTATGTGATATTACCAGAAATGTGCCTGTGGAACTGGAACACTGTCTTTGTCATCATGTTTTCATTTAGATGCTCAATCTGTTCGTCACAGAGATTTTACTGCTTTCTCAACTCTGCAGAGCACAAGTGACACAAACCGGTCAGGTCTCTGACAGCAGTGATGTGTCGCTTACTCATCATCACTTTGAACTCACTGAAACTTGAAAGGTGAGTCAGGGGAAATTGCGTAAGGCAACAGAGGTTTGAATCAATATTTGCATCTTGGATTGGCACAATTTTTGGAACCTGTTGTCACTGAACTGTTGGTGGAAAAATTTAAAATCTCCAGGTGGGAGGGGGGGGCAACAAATATCTCAACAGATGGTGAGATTGTGTAATTTGGACTCAGTGCCTGCTCACAGATGCATTTGCAGTTTGGACAAAGGGGGGGAGGGAATGCCATGCATGAATAGCTGTCTGTCTCCTCCGCTTATTTTTACTGAAAGTATAGTTAAGAGCTCGATAAGGCTTTTGACTTTTTCAAATCAGATCAACTTAGCCCTGGATCACCAACTCTATTCTCTGCTTTTCATGCTCTTCACAGGGGAGTTTAAAAGGGGAAGCAAGGAGCACAATGACAAACATGTTCTGACTGAATTTAAGAGTGCACACAACTAGCTTTTTTAAGTTGTAACATTTACCTTTTTACTAATATTAATAAACTTTGTTTTTCTCTTTAAACTTTTGTCTTTGTTTCTGGCAACCTTCCAGGATAAGATGTTGGGGTCAAAAATACAGAGGATTATAAGGTTTATGAAATTATGAAAACTATATTTTTGTAGCTTGTCAACCACACTGGCCATAAAGCAAAAAATAGTTGTGGGCTGTATTTTATTGTTTATTAATGCAACAAAATTACATTGTCAGCTTTTGAGGTTTATCTGATCAGCACTAAAACAAACAAAGCAGTGATATTTTTGTAGAAAAGGGAGTAAGTCGCAGGAACTGAAAATAATGTTGCACATATTTGCCTTGTTAAAAAAACATATGTACAGTTTTTGATTTTGTTTTTTTTATTAACAGTCTGGAAAAAGCTTTCAATCTTCTCTCTGTGACACGAACAGGATGTGGAGTCACTCTTTATTCAAAAATGCTTGCTGTGTTTAGCCAAAAATGACTGTCTGTGAATAAAAGTGACTGGATGTTTATGATATAATTTACTAAGAAATTAAATAAAAGCAACAACAAAGAAGGATGGCAAAAGAAACAATCTTTCTTACATTTGTAACATTTATTTTGAAAATTAAATTTGTCAGTGACAATCTAACTTTGTGCCAGTCTGTATCAACAAATTGTGTTACCTGACTAAATTTGTTCACAAAATCCATTCAAGAGCCTCAAGATGAAGTGCTTGACTTGGACTGCAGACGCCCGTTTCAAACAAGCCTTTTATTTCCTAAATCCAGCCAAGTCCAACCTTGGAAAATGGAAACGAAAAATAAGAGTTAGTATAACATTTGCATCTATTCTGTGTTGGCTTTATTCATATATTTGAGAAAGGTGTAATAGAGATAAATGTGGGATAATATTTTACCAAAGTGGACTGTCATTCCCACTGCTAATTTCCTCCCGACGCTCCCTAATCATCTGACCCAGAGTAAATAAATGCTTAATAGTTTACTTTTTGGCTGTCTTTTTAAAATTTTTGAATAACATTATGCAAGTGCGTTATGGCAAATGAAAATATATCTATTAAAGTAATCTGTTTTTCTACTGGCCCATTAGTAATAATAGTTGAAACCTATTAGTTGTCAAAAGTGTGTCAGAATATTCCTAAACAAAAAGCAGCTGACAGATTAAAATATTGAATCATGCTATTATTGCTGGTGAAGAAAAAAAAAATCTGTATTAAATGCAGTTTTAGGAGGACTAATTTCCCTCTTTGTCAGATTTGCTGTGTGTTTTTTTTTTTTTTTTTGGTGTGGTAGACTGAGACAAAGTCTTCTTTGTTTTTCTTGGCTCTGGCAGTTTTACCCCATAATAGTTTGTAGATGATGTCAGACCTGAGGGATTGATGTGCTTTGTGCCCTATGAACTGCTGAACAAGATTTGAGTTATTGTAAGATCCCGTGGTGCACATATGTCTTCTGTTTTGTTGTCACAGTTACATGTCTCAGATTAACAAACAAGTGGTATTATCAGACAAAGATAACCTGGGTAAATGTAGATAAAATGCAAAGATAAAAAAAACAACAACTATCTATCACCTGTCAAACCCAGGCCCGGTTACTGTGAAACATGCAGAATCAAGAAATAATTTAATCACACCAGCAGATTTCAAAACGGAACACAGCATGTCCTATTCTAAATCTACTTAAGAACAGATGAGCAAAAAAGTTTTTAACATCAAGGGCTACAAAGCTAGACTCCTGCAAATCAGAACCATTATTCCCAAATGAAGGCACAAGAAAGAGAAAATTACAGTCTGGTATGGCAATATGACATTGAATAAGCTCATGATTTGTTGTGTATTTTTTGTGTATTTGAAATATGTCTGTTACAGCCTTCTGACTTGAACAGCTAATTTTCTGTTAATGTGAATAGTAATGTGAACTATTCACATTTATTACTGAGTGAATGAAATGAAAAAATAAAATCCAAATGAAAGTTTTTGCTGAAGCTTGAGTACAGGTGTAAGCAGAAATCACTATTTTTTTTCTTTATTTTTTTTTTTTTTTTTTACTATAAAGCCTGGTTGGTGTTGATAGCTTTTCCAGCCTCTAATAAATGCGATGACATCATTGGAAAACATAATTAGCTTTTGATTGAAATGAAAATATATTAATTTGAAATATTTATGCACTACACAAAATCAAAAGCCACAAAAATATGTAAAGCAGAAATAAAGTTTTGTTTTGTTTTATTTTATTTTATTTTTTTACACAACATTGTGTACAGACGCCAGGTATTAATGTTTATACAAAAACCCATGCTACAAGCACCACCATTATTATTAGAGATCCCCCTATGGGGCCCCCTTGCTAAACTTCCCAGAAGCGCTCCTGCTTTCTCACATACCAGCAGCGCAATCCTGTTAAATACCTACCAACATTTCCACAGCGTGTGTGTCGGAAGGGGGAGTGGTGCCGAGAGCGTAGTGTAGGCGTGGGCTTGCTGACAGTTTCTGAGAGTGAAAAACCGGGGAGGACCGTCTGAAGCTGAGCAGACAGAGCGGACGCGCTCCGGTGAAGTTCTGTCCAGATCGGAGTTTTCTCTCTCTTTGCGCGCTGGAGGTTCAGCGGAACGGAGCTGGATCGTAAAACCTCGGTTCTGCCAGCAGAAAGACTCAAACTGAAGGAAATGAGGATTGTAGTCTGAAAGGTAAAGGAGGATTTGTTGATCGGTGCGTTAAAACGTGATGTGGAAGATAAAGAGTGCGTCCTTTATTGTTGTAGTAAAAATGTGATTTCTGTTCTCCTTGCTGCATGATGCATTTCCACCAACCTGCTTCTGTTATTGACCTCTTAATTTATATGTTGTTGATGTATTATCATCATTCTTTATTTTATCTGTAGGGACTCTATAACATTAATAGACACTTAGATAAAATGGGATTTAGTATCCCTACGTAGTTAGAATATTATTGAGGTAGACTGTAGTTGTAAAGACCAGAGAATCCTTGTTAAACATTCCTCATTACGGAGTTAAAGTCTACTCACTTCCTTGAACATGTGGACTTTGACACTATAAGGGTTTTCTCATGCATGTCCACCTGCTGTGCTCTAAATCCAGCTGTTTCCTTCCAGTTGCTGCTGCAGGAGGAGAACAACAACCTTTCCTTCACTCAGACCTTTGTCTTCAGGCTGCTGCTCTTTCAATGTGGCATACAGTTTTGCTCCATTCGCCAGGCTGAAATCTTCCAGGGTCAGGACCTCTGTCATGGCAGCCCTGCTCCTCGGGCTGCTGCTGTTTGCTATGCAGTCCCCTCCGCTCCCGTCCAGGCCCCTGGCGGACGGGGGGTCATCTTCGCCCCCCACCTCCTCGCCAGCCGCCGACAATGGCACCGCCAGCCATCCCAACGGGACCCTGCAGCAGCTTCCTCAGATCATAATCATCGGCGTGAGGAAGGGGGGCACGAGGGCTCTGATCGAGATGCTCAGTTTGCACAGCGCCGTGGTGGCGGCTCAGAATGAAGTTCACTTTTTCGACTGGGAGAGTCACTTTCAAAAAGGCTTGCCCTGGTACCTCAGTCAGATGCCTTACGCCTTCCCCGAACAGCTGACGGTGGAAAAGACGCCGGCCTACTTCACTTCTGGCAAGGTCCCCAAACGCATCTATCAGATGAACCCCAACATCAAGCTGCTGCTCATCCTCAGAGACCCCACGGAGCGGGTGCTCTCGGACTACACCCAGGTCTTCTACAACCGCCTCCAGAAGCACAAGCGCTACCAGCCCATCGAATCGGTGCTGGTGAAGGACGGCGAGATCAACCTGGGGTACAAGGCTCTGAATCGCAGCCTGTACTATGTTCACATGCAGAACTGGCTGCAGTACTTCCCCCTGGAGAGCATCCACGTCGTGGACGGGGACAGGCTAATCAAGGACCCCTTACCCGAGATGAAAAAAGTGGAAAGATTCCTAAAGCTGGAGCCGCAGATAAACGCTTCAAATTTTTACTTCAACAAAACAAAAGGATTCTACTGTTTGAGGGATCACGGGCGAGAGCGGTGTTTGCACGACTCGAAGGGCAGAGCGCACCCTCATGTGGCTCCTGCCATCCTGCAGAAACTCTACCAGTTCTTCCACCAACCTAACAAAAAGTTCTTTGAGCTGGTGGGAAGAACATTTAACTGGAAATAAATGTCTGAGTTTGTGCACAACGAGCTCACCAACAACATAAAATGAAGGGACAACAGCTAATGTAAATTTAAGCAAAATTTTTATTTTTTTACTAGTATATTTGTTACGGGGGGCACTCTGGGTCAGTCCACCCCCTTCGCCTGCTCATACTTTAACTTTGTGCCCAGATGTTGCCATTCGGTTTGTTCCTGTAAACACACCAGTTCATACAGATGCGCTTTATCTTTTGTTGTAGTTAGACAATTTAATTAATAATGGAGGTAAGGCAACTCATTTATCTGTATATTATCACCCATTAACTTAGAATCATCTCCACCGATTGTGGCTATAAACTCCTGTAAAACACGACAAGCCCTATGGAACCAAAATAACTTTGAGTAGTGACCTGCTAGTGAACATTTCTTAACAGTAGACTATGATTGGAATATAAAAGTGGCCATAAATGGATGTTGGCTCGGCATGAAACAGGCTCTGTTTTGTTCCCCCTAAACATTAGGTATGAAATGGCCAACAGTGAGGTGAAAATCAGGGCAGACTGCTGGTTTTCTTTTCCAAACACCCATCTCATTGACACCCTGTGCTGTGAGGAATGTGGACCAGCTTCAGCTCGTATCAGCAGACTCGTTTTGCACGGTGCCAGTATTGTTACATAAAGATATGCACTGAGCAGATTTTCATTGCCAGACGTTCTTCTTTTGCATTTTTTGAGATAACATTGTTCATATCTAACTGTATTTAAAGCTCTGAAGGAATTTATTGCTGCTATATTTTTTTAAGGGGCACACACTCTAAATATTGAACAATAATTTGTTCTTTTTGTGGTCAGTTTCCTTACTTTGTTTGCAAGAACCAGTCATGTAAACGCGGAACCCAGATACTGCTCATCAAAAACTCAACTGTAAATATTTTTTCTAAAACTGAGAAGTTAACACTATAATAAAGATGCTATTTTATTTTTTACATGTCTACTGTTTTGTCCTTCTCTCTCTCTCTCTCTCTCTCTTTTTTTTTTTTTACATACTTTTACGCTGTGCCGTTTATCTTTGCCTGTAGTAGGATGACTCGGGTCATTATTTCTCCACCTGCTGACTTGCTTAACAGCTGTACTTCCCATGTTTTAGTCGGGCTGTCATGCGTTTAGGAAACTGTGCATTAACTTTTATTGTTCAGATAATGAGTTCTCTTGAATTTCCTGTTTGGCCGCCTGCTATCAGAAGAGCTACATTTGGATTTTAGTGCGTGTTTAATAAGCTGTTGTCTGATGCTTCATTAGCTGTTTTCAGAGCAGTTTTCTTTACACAACCTAATTATCTGCTATTATAGCATGTGAGAATTAAGAGTGGGGGACAGAGGTGAAGTAAAATTTGAGCACAATCTCAACCAAAAAAAAAAAAAATCAAAGGAGAAGTTGTTTATGCCCAAGGGTGCAATCATCTTACTTAGTTTTCAAGAGAGGCAAGGCATTATGTATTCAAATCACATCCGCAGACATTAAGCTCCAAAAACCTCAGCCCCAAAAAGGTTTTGTGATATTTGGAAGTGGCCCGGATGCACTCGGAGGGATGCCAGGACTTCAGACAGGACGCTAAGCTTGCTGCTCCTTAAATCCGCAGCGCAACAAGAATTCCTTTTCTTTTCCGTTTGCCCTCAGAGAGTGCAAATTATATCTTCCTGCTCCCTCTGCACTTTGCATGTGTTCACTTTGGAGAGATTATTGAGTAACCCAATCAGAGAGGCTTTGGAGTAAAACCCGTTTTGCTGTGGGCAAGAAAGAAAGAGGCGGAGAAGGTAAACAGAGATCTTGAGGGGCCAGGGTTGATCTTAGATTATCAAGGATCTCTATAATGTGCGTCATCTGGCCTGCATGGGGAAAACAACATAACATTTATTCTCAAGATGGGGTCATTGCTGGTTGCCACATCTGGAGGAATGTACGGGAATCCAGTTGCTTTTGAAAAGTAAGACACAAAGCAGTAGCAATGTCAGTGTCACCTTCCTCTGGGTCAAAGTAAGACTGATGAAATATCCAGATAAATTCATTTTCCCTCCACACTACAGCCTGCAATAACTACCATTTAGGAAGAAGATGAATAAATTGCATATATGTTAAGCTTCAACTGAGGATGCTTTTTTTGTTCAGTTTGTTCTTTTCTGTACATGCATTTAAATAAATTAGAATTTCATCAGAAGTTGATTTATTACAGTAATAATTTTTTTTTAAAGAACTGACATATTCCATGGGTTTATTTCTTAGTTTTGATGATTAAGGATTACACATAATCATGAAAAAATAAAAAATAATTTCTCCAAAAATGTTAAAATTTTTGGAGAAGTTTTATAACAGAATATTAGATAACTGAAATGTTTGTCAATAGTCTTTACAGTATAAGCCCCCAATATTTTGCTGAGCCACTTAAATTAAAAAATTGTGGCAAAGAAATATTTAACGTTGTCTTCGCAGGGCTGCCTAAAAAGCTGTTTACGTTCTCATTCATACTAGGGGGAGCACATCACCCAGGTTTTAAAGTCCTTACACTTGCTCGTTGTAGCTCAAAGAATAGGCTTTAAAATACTTTCGTTAGTTCATAAATCACCAAACGACCTGAAGTCATTGTATCAACCTTCCTAACCATTGGTCTGGTCTGATAGTTCAGCTCTACTCTGTGTCGCCAGAATCAGAGCCAAACATGGAGAAGCAGGATTCAGTTTTTATGTTCCTCTACTCTGGAACAAACTTCAAGAAAATCTCAAAACTGCTGAAACACTGAGGTCTTTTAAATCGATTCTAACACCCAATAGTTTAAAGTTGCCTTTGATTAACAACAACTCGAACATCTCTAGTTTCGGCCAAGATTTCAACTTTTCATTAATTCACGTTTTTTTTTGCCATTGCAATGTAATGTCTAATATTTATTTATTGAATTATGTTTTATGTTTTTATTTTTCAAATAAACATCACTAGCATCTGGTTCTGCTAAGGTATTAAGGAAGCTCAGGTTGCACTTAGATACACTTGGATACAGCACAGCTACTTTCTTTTGTAATGATCTATTTTGCCTTAACCTCCTTGTGGAGGATGTCAGTGACAATCTGCTGGACATCTGTCAAGCAGTCATCCTCGTGATTGTGTTGGCCACAGGATATAATAGTCCTAGTTATATAATTTTTAATTAGTTTAATGTGATATTCAAAAGTTTTGATAAAGCCATAACCTCAGAATTCACAGAAATAATCACTTGACAAAGATTGTCGCCTGTGAGGAGTTCATATAATCTATTTGGTTCAGTTTTTAAAGTGAACTACTGAAATAAATAGAACGTAAAATATGCTCAAAGATATTTGCAAAGTGATCTAAAACTTACTAAGTCACTAAAGGTGATTCATTTTTCAAATGTTCCATTTATTCTGCAAGCATCAGCGTAGCAAATAAGTGGTTCTGATGAATAAAACCATAGATTACAAGAAAGCAACACCACATAAACTTCAGGTTGCCTGACAGGATTAATTGCAGAGGAAAGAAGAAAAGCTTCTTTTTTTTTTTTTACTTGAGTGAAATCATTACAGTCTTATCCTTTCATGATTGTTTTCTGACTCACTTCGGAAGGCTTTGTAAAATTTTTAAAGTGGGAAGTTTAAAGGTTGAACTCACAGTTTGGTGAAGATGTTAACAGCTCAAAGACCTGTGAAGTCTGAGTATGAACCCTTAATGTGCTAACAAGGCAGCAGAAAAGCAGAAAAGGCCACAAAAAGTCTGCTTTTCTGCTTGTTAACTTTCATTTCAAAAGAGAAAAACTTAGCGTGTGAAACTGTTTTTGCTTTCCACTGAAATTAATATTGCACAGCAATATGTCAGATTCAATCCAAAGATTTCCATCAGTATATCATTTTCTTTAATTCTCTGATTGATGAATTATCTCATGACTTTCTCCCGGCACCCTCAGAGGCATCACAGAGCTCAGGTTTGCAGGTAAAATTAACAATTTAAAACCCTGGTTTTCAATGCCATGCAAGTAACAAGTGGAGGAGCGTCTGCTTACAGCATTTGATGCTCATCTTGAGTGTCATTTTTTACCAGGGAGCAGGTCTGGAATATTATTCCCATTGTTGGAGTTGTAAGTGTGAATTACAAATCATGGCTTTCTACTTAAAGTCGAAAGCAGGTATTTAAATAAACACACAAAACTTTATTGTTGTACTCTCTTGCATTAAGTCAGACTAAACATCTCCTGTTAAATTATGCAAATGAATTTTATTTTAATTATTTCCTAAATTAACTTAGCCAATTTAAAAAAACATGTAAAACCCATTGCTTCCCTTATGTGATGCTGTGGGAAGTTCTTAAGATATCAGGAAAATAATATGGACCTCAAGTATTCAGGTTCATCCTTGAGTAAAATTTCTAGATGCCTGAAGTTGCCACGTTTATCTCTTCATATATTAATATGCAAGTAGAAAAAGCATGTGAACGTTCATGAAGGACAGAGATTATGTGTCACAGAGAGACGTTTTATGATGTTTAATGGGTGACCCTGACGAAATGCTGGCGAAAACTGCTGAAAGCAAATGTCATTGCCCTCAGTAAAACTAGATCTGGGCTCGAAGCCAATCAGCAAGGAAGAAGACATTACTGCAAAAGCAACAGAAAAACCTTGGTTACAGTTGAGACAAAGACCTTATTTGTTTTTAATTTTTTATTTTTGGACACATGTCCTGCAGTTTGCTAAATTAAAATTGAAGCCTTTGACCTTGATGACCATTGTTAAAGTTGGAAGAAAAAGGAAAAGCAAATTAGGCAACACAATCAAAACTGTGAAGTACTTAGGGGGCAACAGAATAATAATAAAAATAATCATCATTTTAGTAATCCAACCTGACCTAAAACACAGTAAAAAAAATAGTTTGATTTGCTGTCACTCTTATACTTCAATTAGTTACGACTGTGATAAACTCACACAGTTCAAGACTTTGTTGATTTTCAACAAACAACTTTACAATTTGTCTGTCTGATGACGTTATTTTAAAATATTCAGATCTTATGTTGCTCAGTATGTAAGGAGCCTTTTTATCAAATTCTTGTTTTCCCTCTTACTTGAGTAATAATTTTGATGCTACTTTTTAATTTTATTTGGATAAAATGATGTTGTAGTTGTTCTACTCGTACATGAGAATAATTTTGGGCTACTCCTTACTGACCTTTTATTGTTGGTATTAAAGTTTTAAAGTTATAATGGGACATATATCTCTATTTTTCTTTTGGGGTGACAGTTCTATGCTTACACAGTTTTTTTACTTTTTCAAAAATAATTGTAAGCTTAAAACAAACCAAGAGCCTTCAAGATTACCATGGAGATCTAATAGAAATTTAAAGCTTTCTACCTGAATGTTTAAGTCAATTTCCTTAAACTGTTGCAGTAAGTTAAAGCAACATAATCTCTTCAAAGTAATCATTTGATCCCTTGCATATAACATTAATTATAGGGCCGCTATGCAAATATATTCTAAAGCCTGCTTTAAAAACACCTGCAGAGCCTCTCTGATGTTGTAATAAGTTCCCTGTCGATGCTGCTGTCTCCCTTTCCCTGCTCTGATTATACACTATCAACGTAAGAGAGGCATCTATTAAGAGTTCATGAACGCCCCATTAGTCTAGTCAGCTGTGCAGCCCTCTAAAGTTTTACAGTCACAGATTTCCCCCCACATCACCTAATTAATCTCAGCCACATAATTAATTTGTCTCCTCACACGCATGCACTAAGAGCAGTAAACTCAAGCAACAACCAGGATTAATGGCTTTGCCCTCCTCCCGGCACCTCCCTCTCCTCCGATACCTCTGCTGTAACGTAATTTGCCCTAGAAGTTTCTGGACTCGTTTGGAGCCAGTCGGCCTCCACCTCCTTCTCTTCCCTTCACCGGCTGCCAGCCCACACTCGTTGTTCCTGAAGAGGCCCGTTTTCCTCCAAACCACAATCAGCCATTCTGGACTGTTTCAAAGGCTGATGTGATCCGATGGAGCACAGCCTCCTTGTGCAGTCTCCTGGCTGCAGCTTTAATTGGAATAGATTGTTTGTCGAAGTCAATGTGTGAAGCACGGTAGAATTAACACATGCACCCATTCTGTTTTTATTTGCCCCAAACTGAAACGGGGACATTCAAACTGTGGCTACTTGTTAGCTTCAGACTGAGCTGGGCGTGCATTAAGTAGCTAAATTGCTGGCACGCAGGGGGATATTTTAGTAGTCGTCACAGGTCTGATTGTGTTTCTAAAGGAATTGTTTAGCATGCTCTTTTAAAGTCATTTATCAAGTATCATGGATATTCAGTTTGCTTACAAATTGATGTCCTTGCTTGCGGAAAAACCCCCCAAAACATTTTCTCTTCATTTCTCAGCTTGTACACATTGTGGATCATTTTTGCTTTGTAATAATCTACTGAAAAAGATCAGTAGCACTGATTTAACATATAGTGCCTTACAAAAATATCACACCCCTTAAACTTCTTTTTTAATATATTTTAATGAGCTGCAAACAAAAACAAAGAACAGCGAGGCCTGGACAATAGAAAATACTTGACACCCATTTAAAACTCTTCTAATATCTTATTTTAATAGTTCACATACAAAATTTAACATAATATACATTATTATGGACAGCAAAATCATCTTAGCATTCCCATGGTAAATAATGTCCTCAGTCTTACTTATTTTCAGTCTTTTGGGGTTTCAGCAAATCAGCAAGTGCGTAGGTATTTCAGCTTCCCAAGCTGCATTTTCAAGTGAATATTCTGAATATATTCAGCAAAAAAAAAAAAAAAAAAAAAAAAAATCATTTAATGGGGGGTTTTTTTGCAAGGAAAAC